TATATAGATATATATGTAGATATATATATATATATATATATATATATTATAACACTGAGGAGTGCGCATTCCAGTTTTAATAAAGTAGAATATCCTGGGAGATAAAAAGAACTTGAAATTGGTACAATTGGGAATAACAAATGTTCTCGCCAATCGTTTTCTTGTTTTAAGTGCTTGTTATTCCTTGTATGTTTTATTTTTTTTATTCCTTTTGGGTTTCAGCAGTTTTCTAAATACTTAAGGGATTCAAACAAGTATAAAAAAGACAATGAGGGTGAATTGAAAGAATCCAATCTTGTATATTCCCTTGTGTCTCATTTAGAATAAAAACAGACAGACGGTACAAAACGATATGGATTAGAGCATTCTCCTCTCTCCTTCCTTGACTTTCATCTTTTCTAATAAGCTGTGAATCTCTTGTCTTCAGAGGCTTCTCCTTTTCCTTTCAAATTAACATCTGGGGCGAAGGATGCAGTGGCGATTGAGATACAGGCAATGGCTTTACTAGTAATTTCATTAAGAAAAACACTTCATTGAGTAGCAAGAAACAGATGTTCTAAAATGGTTAGTAGAGATTTAAAAATGCATACTAATGTTGAGAGAAAACTGCAGAGATTTGAAAAATAAATATTTCCAAACATAACATTTTCAACAGTGTAGGTTCAATGTTACATTTTATTGAAATAATGCTGTAAATAGGTTTGAGCATTGAAATATTTTCTATTTTGATCAATATTTGGCAACTCTGAAATTATATAGTCCTTTACGAATAATTGTTATAATTTCAAATTTATTGTTAGTGCTTTTCTTCAGAGAATATGAAAATGAAATGTGATACATAAGAACCCTACTTAAGCTTTTTCTCATTATGCAATGTATGAGCACTAGTTATATTTAAATGCAATTTAAACATAATATACTGTATATATACAAGCCGGATTCCAAAAAAGTTGGGACACTAAACAAATGGCGAATAAAAACTGAATGCAATGAGGTGGAGGTGGAGGTGCCAACATCTTATATTTTATTCAGAATAGAACACAAATCACAGATCAAAAGTTTAAACTGAGAGAATGTATCATTTTAAGGGAAATATCTGTTGTTTCTAAATTTCATGGCGTCAACAAATCCCAAAAAAGTTGGGACAAGTCCATTTTTACCACTGTGTGGCATTCCCCCTTCTTCTTACAACACTCAACAGACGTCTGGGGACAGAGGAGACCAGTTTCTCAAGTGTAGAAATAGGAATGCTCTCCCATTCATGTCTAATACAGGCCTCTAACTGTTCAATCGTCTTGGGCCTTCTTTGTCACACCTTCCTGTTTATGATGCGCCAAATGTTCTCTATAGGTGAAAGATCTGGACTGCAGGCTGACCATTTCAGTACCTGGATCCTTTTCCTATGTAGCCATGATGATGTGATTGCTGCAGAATGTGGTCTGGCATTATCGTGTTGAAAAATGCAGGGTCTTCCCTGAAAGAGATGACGTCTAGATGGGAGCATTTGTTGTTCTAGAACCTGAACATAGTTCTCTGCATTAATGGTCCCTTTCCAGACATGCAAGCTGCCCATGCCACAAGCGCTTATACAACCCCATACCATCAGTGATGCAGGCTTTTGAACAGAGTGTTGATAAAAACTTGGGCTATCCTTGTCCTCGCTGGTCTGGATGACATGGCGTCACAGTGTTCCATAAAGAACTTCAAACCATGACTCATCTGACCACAGAACAGTCTTCCATTTTGCCACACTCCATTTTAAATGACCCCTGGCCCAGTGCAAACGTCTGAGCTTGTGGAGCTTGCTTAGAAATGGCTTCCTCTTTGCACTGTAGAGTTTCAGCTGGCAACGGCGGATGGCACGGTGGATTGTGTTCACTGACAATGATTTCTGGAAGTATTCCTGAGCCCATTCTGTTATTTCCTTGACAGTGGCATTCCTGTTTGAGGTGCAGTGACGTTTAAGGGCCCGGAGATCACGAGCATCCAGTAGAGTTTTATGGCCTTGACCCTTACGCACAGCGATTGATCCAGATTCTCTGAATCTTTTGATGATGTTATGCACGGTTGATGATGATAACTTAAAAGCCTTTGCTATTTTACGCTGGGTAACACCATTCTGGTATTGTTGCACTAGCTTTCTGCGCAACAATGGTGGAATTGGTGATCCTCTTACCATCTTGGCTTCTGAGAGACACTGACACTCTGAGAAGCACTTTTTATTCCCAATCATGTTGTCAATTGACCTAATTAGTTTTAATTGGTCTTCCAGCTGTTCGTTATATGCTCAATTTCCTTTTTCCGGCCACTTATTGCTACTTGTCCCAACTTTTTTGTGATTTGTTGACCCCTGTGAAATTTTGAATCAACATATGTTTCCTTTAAAATGTTACATTTACTCAGATTAAACTTTTGATCTGTCATCTATGTTCTATTACGAATAAAATATTGACATTTGCCATCTCCACATAATTGCATTCAGTTTTTAATCACAGTTTGTTTAGTGTCCCAACTTTTTTGGAATCCGGTTTGTAAATATATTTATTTATTTAAGGGATTTTAAACTCTTCCCACACTCTTGCAATATTATAAACAATGTTTTTAAATTCTAAACGCTCTAAAAGAACACAGCATGTCATTATTTCAGCTCTCTGCCTCCTGCTGCACTCTTGGTCACGCCCACTTTTCCGCTCTGCACGGAGATCAGCTGTTCAGCTGCAGGAGGAAGTTTATCCTGCAGTGTGGGTTGCACAAAGGTGCAACAGGTGTTAAATAATTTATTTTAAATATAAATTCCATGCCAATCATGCATCTCATCCATCAATCAGAAAATAGTGTGTCATGTCCAATGTTACTTTGAAAAACTGCAATAGAGCGAGTCTGCGAAAAACGAACCACAAAGTAGCGAGGGACTACTGTACAGGTCCTTCTAAAAAAATTGCATATTGTGATAAAGGTCATTATTTTCCATGATGTAATGATAAAAATGAAACTTTCATATATTTTACATTCATTGCACACCAACTGAAATATTTCAGGTCTTTAATTGTTTTAATACTGCTGATTGTGGCATACAGCTCATGAAAACCCAAAATGCCTGTCCCAAAAAATTAGCATATTTCATCCCACCAATGAAAGACAAGTGTTTTTAATACAAAAAACGATAACCTTCAAATTCAGTTATGCACTCAATACTTGTTAGCGAATCCTTTTGCATGAATGACTTCTTCAATGCCGCGTGGCATGTCGGCAATCAGCCTGTGGCACTGCTGAGGTGTTATGGAGGCCCAGGATGCTTCGATAGCGGCCTTAAGCTCATCCAGAGTGTAGGGTCTTGTGTCTCTCAACTTTCTCTTCACAATATTCCGCAGTTTCTCTATGGGGTTCAGGTCAGGAGAGTTGGCAGGCCAATTGAGCACAGTAATACCATGGTCAGTAAACCATTTACCAGTGGTTTTGGCACTGTGAGCAGGTGCCAGGTCGTGCTGAAAAATGAAATCTTCATCTCCATAAAGCTTTTCAGCAGATGGAAGCATGAAGTGCTCCAAAATCTCCTGATTTCTAGCTGCATTGACCCTGCCCTTGATAAAACACAGTGGACCAACACCAGCAGCTGACATGGCACCCCAGACCATCACGGACTGTGGGTGCTTCACACTGGACTTCTGGCATTTTGGCATTTCCTTCTCCCCAGTCTTCCTCCAGACTCTGGCACCTTGATTTCCGAATGACATACAACATTTGCTTTCATCAGACAAAAGTACTTTGGACCTCTGAGCAACTGTCCAGTGCTGCTTCTCTGGAGCCCAGGTCAGGCACTTCTGCCGCTGTTTCTGGTTCAAAAGTGGCTTGACCTGGGGAATGTGGCACCTGTAGCCCATTTCCTGCACACGCCTGTGCACGGTGGCTCTGTATGTTTCTGCTCCAGACTCAGTCCACTGCTTCCGCAGGTCCCCCAAGGTCTGGAATCGGCCCTTCTCCACAATCCTCCTCAGGGTCTGGTCACCTCTTCTCGTTGTGCAGCGTTTTCTGCCACACTTTTCCCTTCCCACAGACTTCCCACTGAGGTGCCTTGATACAGCACTCTGGGAACAGCCTATTTGTTCAGCAATTTATTTCTTGGTCTTACCCTCTTACTTGAGGGTGTCAATGATGGCCTTCTAGACAGCAGTCAGGTCGTCAGTCTTACCCATGATTGCAGTTTTGAGTAATGAACAAGGCTGGGAGTTTTTAAAAGCCTCAGGAATCTTTAGCAGGTGTTTAGAGTTACGTTGTTGATTCAGATGGTTAGGTTAATAGCTTGTTTAGAGAACCTTTTCGTGATATGCAAATTTTTTGGGACAGGCATTTTGGGTTTTCATGAGCTGTATGCCATAATCATCAGAATTAAAACAATTAAAGACCTGAAATATTTCATTTGGTGTGCAATGAATCTGAAATATATGAAAGTTTCATTTTTATCATTACATTATGGAAAATAATGACCTTTATCACAATATGCTATTTTTTTTAGAAGGACCTGTATCTATATACTAAATCTACTACTTACAACTTGTACAACTATTCCTACTTTGCAGTTTTTCACTTATCGCGGGGCTTCAGGGTACCGATCCCCCATGATAATCAAGGGACTACTGTATATATAGTAGTCCCTTGTTTATCGCGGTGATGAGACGATCGTGTGGCTCATCCATCAATCAGCCATTATGTGCGTGTCCCATCTTATTTTGAAAAACCGCGATAGAGCGAGTCCACGACAAACGAACTGCGATGTAGCGATGGACTACTGTGTATATATATATATATATATATATATATATATGGATACTTATGTATATGTGTGTGTGTGTGTGTGCGTATGCATACACTGTAGCTTGCTTTGCAACCTAATAATATTTCTTTCAAATTATAGTTCATTTACTTGTATTTTTCTCTTTTTCTCAAGGTGGAAATGCCAAGCTGCGTTACCAGATCACCTCAGGAAATTCAGGTGGGGTGTTTGATGTCGAGCCAGAGGTGGGCACAATTTTCATTGCTCAGCCACTGGACTATGAACTAAACAAAAGGTATGAACCCACTCTGCAAGGTGAAAAAAGAATCCTGTATCCACCCGTCGCTAAATGCACTGTTCAGTGTTTTTTTTTGTTTGTTTGTTTGTTTGTTTAGTCTTTTCCTGCTTTGGTAGAACTTTGATCTAGTCATTTTAACTTTGTCCAATTTTACTTTTAGTTTTTCTTTTACTTTAAATGTAATATTTTAATTATTATATTAATTTATCTGTGATGGACTTGCGACCCGTCCAGGGTGTACCCCGCCCCTCGCACAGTGATTGCTGGACATGGGCACCAGCGACCCCCGTGACCCAAAATGGAATAAACGGGTAAAGATAATGGATGGATGGATGGATGGATATTAATTTATTTTTGGTATCTGATAGCATTTATTTGTATTTAAAATAAAACTTGTAAACATCTTTGCTTAAATCTCAGATTTCTGCCTTTTCATATTGACACCAGTTCTGTAAAAAAGAGATGTTTGTAAAAAAACAAAAAAAAACAAAAAACTAAATAAAACAAAACCAGTTAAAGGACATTTGCCTTTGTGCACCATATTATCTGACTATTTAGTTTAATTTTTCAACATTTTACCATGTTAAAGTGTCAAATGTAAAGGTAATTCCTACATATCGTCAATGGGAAAAGATTAAAGAAAAGGGGTTGAGTTTTTACATCCATTCACTAGGATGATTACTGACCAGGCAAGTAAAAGTGAGAAAAGAAGACTAATAAAATTATGAACAAAATAAAATGCAAAAAAAACCTGCTAATTCAGCTAAACTAATTACTCCAGAATGAAGATTCTCTGTCTTCAATGATTTTATTGACGAAGTGACCACCAAACAAATTAATTAAAAATATCTATATTTCTCCCTCTCAACAGGTACCTTGTCTGTTAAAATGTGACTTTCAAATAATTTTATAAAATATTGGTATGTGCTAGGATTTTTCAGACTAAAGCTTCTCACAATGCCAACATGTGTGCTCAGGTACAAGCTTCATGTCCTGGCTTCTGATGGAAAATGGGAAGATTATACAACAGTGACCGTAAACGTGGTGAACAAGAATGATGAGGCACCAGTCTTCACAGTTAATGAGTACTACGGCAGCGTAACAGAGGAGCTGGATGGTTCACCCGTGTTTGTCTTGCAGGTACAGTGTCGTTATTTCAACTGTGATATTTTCTTTTTTCACATTTGTGTAATTACTACTTGCTATGGTAAGTTATACATTTTACCAGCTTACCTAAAAATAATACCAGATGGTCTTTACTGCCAAGTTAATCCATCCATCCATCCATCAATCATATTTTACCTGCTTCTTCCATTTTGGGTCACGGGGGTCACCGGTGCTCATGTCCAGCAATCACTGTGCGACGGGCAGTGGGCACCCTGGACAGGTCTCCAGTCCATCACAGGGACACATAGAGACAAACGAGACAAACAACCATTCACTCTCTCACTCACACAAAGGGACAATTTAGAGTTACCAATCAGCCTAACATGCATGTTTTTGGGCTGTGGGAGGAAACCGGAGTACCCGGAGAAAACCCATGCATGCACAGAGAGAACATGCAAACTCCACCCAGAAGGGCCCCTGGACCGGGATTTGAACCAGGGACCTGCTCGCTGAGAGGCAGCAGCTCTACCAGTTGCTCCACCATGCTTCCCCAAGTTAATCCAATTCAGTTTATTCAATTTAGTTAATTAAATAAACTGCAGTTTATACATTATACTGTATACATTACAAAAGCTAATTAGTCAAAGCTATCTACGGAAAGCCAGCAAATTGCATTGAATCTTCACTTTGTTGCAGCCTCACACCCTGAACAAGCACGTAGGCCACAGTGGAAAGGAAAAACTCCCTTTTAACAGAAAGAAACCTCCAACAGAACCAAGCTCAGGTTTGTAGTTAGAAGTAAAATTTTGAATTATATTCTGAATTTGACAGGGAGTCAATGGAGAGAAGCTAAAACTGGATAAATATGATCTCTCCTACCAACTCATTAAAACTCTGGGAGCAGCATTCTGGATCAGCTAAAAATGTTAAAAACATTTTTTGGACACCCAGTTAATAGAAAATTGTAATGGTCCAGGCTAGACATGACAAATGCATGGACCAGTTTTTCCTGCATCATTTTTGCACAAGATGTTTCTAATCTTAAAGATATTATGCAGGCAGAGGACAGCAGTTCTGGTTAATTTTTTTATTTGTTTTCTGTTTTTTTTTTTTTATTTATTTATTTATTCATTCATTCATTCTTTCATTCATGTGGATGGTTAAAAAACATATCCTGATTAAAAATAGCACCAAGGTTTGTTTTTTTTACGTTACAGTGCCAACCATTGGAAGTGAAAGGCTGCAATGTTTCTTCACAAGATGCTTAGGTCCAAAAACAACACTATCTGTCTTGTCTGAGTTTAGAAGCAGAGGATTTAGGGTCATCCAGGTTTTTATGTCTTTAAGACATTCTTGTAGTGTAAGTAACCAATTGGATTCATCGGGTTTCATGGACAAATATAACTGTGTATCATCAGCATAACAATGAAAATGTATCCTATTCTGTTTAATAACTTCACCTAATGGAAGCATAAAGTAAAGACTATTGGTCCAAGCACTGAACTCCGAAGAAATCCACGACTAACTTTGGTGTATGAAGAAGATTCATTATTTACATTTACAAATTGCAATCTATCAAAGTATGGTTTAAACCATTTTAGAGTCATTCCTGTAATCCAAATATCATTCAAGCCTCTGTAGTAGAATATCGTGATCAGCTATAGCAAATGCAGCATTGAGGTCTAATAGAACCAGTATAGACAGAATTCAATTGACTGAGGCCATGATAATATCAATAGTAACTTTCAGTGCTGTGGTGAGCTCTAAACACTGACTAAAGCTCCTCAAACAGATTATTTATTTGCAGATGTTCACACAATTGATTTGCAACTGTTTTGTCAAGAAGTTTTGAGATAAATGTTAGATTAGATAAAGGTCTAGAATTGGCCAGACTTCCTGACTCAAGATCAGGTTTCTTAAGTAAAGTTTTAATTACAGCAGTGCTTCTCAATTATTTTCTGTTACGCCTCCTCTAGGAAGAAGTAAACATTTTGCGTCCCCCACCAAACTCTCCGCTGTAACTGTAAATAGTATAATTTGTCTATAAAATTGTTATGAGTACACCTCTGCATAACATTGTGTCCTTATTAACATTAAACAAAAAATAATATAGATCAACTTACAATGAAGAATAACTTTATTATTAGTCTGTAACAGAAACAACTTAAAGTGCATCAATTTGCCTGAAAAAAAAAAACAACGTAATTAAACTGTAAACATTTTTGACCATTTGATACTGAAAAATAAAATATAATCAATAAATAATAATAAATTCAAATTGATCGGCATCATTTTAACTCAGTGTTATATAAAACACTTTGACCTACAAAACAACAATGAACTCAACAATTTGTGCTGATTTTTTTTTTTTTTTTTTTTTTTTTTTTAGTGTTTTTTTAAGCGAGACTTAAAAACTGTGAGAGTGGGAGCCTGCCTGACGCACAGTGGTAACTCATTTCACAGGTCAAGTATATTTTGTTAGCAAAGAATAGAGTCCTAACATTTATTAAACATTACTTCTGTATTTACAAAAATATAACATCAAAATTGACAAACTCATCAATAAAACTAAAACATTTTGTCAACGCTAAAGAGGAAATAGGGGGCAGGTGTCACTCTCGCTTTGAGTTTACTCTTTGTTGCATGCGTGCTGTGAGTGACGTCCAGAGCGTCATAAAAACAGCAGCGGAGGTGTCAGAGTTATTTATTTATCGTCTCAGCAGCAGAGAGGAGTGACACGGTTCAAGCATTGCTCTCAAAACGACAAGGCAGCAATATTTGTTCATAACTTTATTATTAGTAAACCTGAGAGATACGAGCAAACAGTTGCTGGAACACGTGACAAAATGAGAATGGTGAAAAAAAGCTACTCCCTATGGCAAAAAAATCATGTTCCCTGGGTCACATACGCCCCCACTGGTATCACCCCGGGCCCCCCTAGGGGGGGCACGCCTCACTATTTTAGAAGGACTAAATTACAGCAACCTTAATGCTCTCTGCTATGTAACCATTCATTATAGACAAAGTAAGCCAGTCCAAAATGTGGATATTAATTA